ATGAAAGGGGGCTATGGGGGAAAACTGTCAAAAAATAAAGGAGAAAAATGTTAGGCTAAAGGCAAATAATTGTACGGTCCACGGTATTTTGGCAACGATTGTAGTACCAACTCCTGGTGACTGGCCAACATGGCTCTATATCAAGAAGCTTATAGCACAGGCTAAAAGCGATGACACAATAATTACCTCATTAATATCTGAACAAGGCCCATTTAATGTTAGCCTTAATCTACAAGAACAAATTGTTATACAGTACCAGTTTCTATTTGATAAATTTCATCGCCATTTGTTTTCAAAACCACTGCCACAAAACCCAAAGCCACATCAAAGATCAATGCTAATTAGTTCACTTCTGCTTGGATGGCTTATGGTGCGAGACAAAATTATTTCAAAGTTTTCCAACTGTAAMGATCCTCAGTATGTACTTGTGTTATTTGTTCTAGAAGAAGTAGTACCTCTGGGTTTTTTTCAATACTTTTGCATCTTCAGAGGTGGAAACTTAGAGAAATACTTAACAGTCATGGTAAGGATTGCTATGATATTCATCATTTGGAAAAGAAGGCACTACAACAAGTCACCTCTGTCAATGCTCAGTGACATTGAACATCAGAGAAAAAATCTCCATAATTATTTTTCAACAAAAAAAAAATGGCTGTCACTTTTCACAGAAAAGAAAGTAGAGGTGTTTCACTCTGAGCTTCGAAGTAAAATCWCACCTTGGGCATCAGCAGAATTTATCCAGAATATAGCAAAATGTATCAATGCCAAGAATTTTCAAATCTCTTTTCAAAGAAACTTTGTAAAAAGTAACACTTCAAGAGAAAATTCTAATAGAGACTGGACAACTATTGCTGGGATGAGTGCTGAATATTTGATCAACCTATTTAAATCTGTTGCACAGAATATTGGAAAATCTTATAAGGTGATAAAATTATTTATTTTTATGCCAATAATGTCAATATTTGAGCTATTGCATAAAAATACTAGAGAAAAACATATCTATTTCTATACAACAACCATTAAAGATGTGACATGTATATCATATACTTTATCTGTTTTGCAGCTACCAAGAGAGCTTGATAAGCGAGGGAAACYGAAAGGGCCCATTCTTTATTGGTTCCCAATATTTGAAGCAAATGTCAAACACACATGCATGCCATTGGGTTACAGTTTTCAAGACACCTATCCAAATRCAGATCCACATCCAGACTACAGATGTGACCTTCAAAGCTGCAAAGGAAGTGGCTCTGTCTGTCATCTGGCCTGTTTTCATTCTTTCCATGATGTTTGTTTAAATGGTGTGTCTAAATGTCCTATATTCAATGACAAATTACATGAAAAGATTAAAGAGCTCTCTAGCAAATTCAACTCTTCCCTTCTTGAGCCAACAAAGTCTAAGCATGTCAGAAATATAGATCAAAGTAATGACCAAGATGAGGATGAGCATTTAACTGTTAGACCTGCACCTCAACCACAGACGAGACCTGCTCCTGCACCTCAACCACAGACGAGACCTGCCCCTACACCTCAACCACAGACGAGACCTGCCCCTACACCTCAA